GACAGAGTCCGGCAGCCGGATTTTGTGAACACGGTGATTAACCTTTGAGTTCCATAAATGAAATGGGCTGTTCTTTGATAAGCAGAGTATGCGATCGACTTTTCAAAGAATTTCCTGCTCCATACAGAGAGAGTGATATCACTGAATGTGGATCATCCCAATAACGTCAAATATGCATAAAGATACGGATCCTGTATGCTCTACCTGAATATGTAACAGGTTGACAGATACAGTGGAAGAATGGAATTTTATACACACACACAGTTACATAATTTTAATAAATACTGTGCAATTTCCATGGATGGTAGAAACTTCAAGACTTTTTCTTCATAATTTTCATGAAAAGTACCATATCTAGAAAGAAACAAAGAAGATGCATTATGAAGTACTTCTTCCTCATTCAACCAAACTCCTCCGAGTGACAAGCTCCTAGTTGCACAATGCTCAAGTCTTAGCGTTATCTTTGTTTCGGTGTATCTGAAATTTACTTCAGCACCAATGGTACAATTTTGACATGCAAATCGACTTGTTCCAAGCGCAGAAAGTTCCTTGTAATTATTTTGCAATCACTTTCCAAAAATAAAACTGAGTAAAGTACTACACAACTGAGATCAGAGAAGGAAACGCAGGTGTCCCAAAAAAAAAAGAAGATGTATACACATTACAACAAGGAATATTAACCTTGTTAACAATCTACGCGTGTTCTACACTTAACAGATGGCACCACAAAATCTTTTCCCATGAATCAGATATGCAAAATGGTGGAGGGTCGATTGAGTTTTGAGCAACACAAATTAATTTTGAAGTGGTACTGGAAATCAGAGAATGCGCTTGAAGTTCGAAGATGGTGGGCACATGAATGCGAAACCACGCCTCCAACATGACTCACAATTACAAGAATTTGAGATAAATTTGAGATGTACAGAACTGTGAAGGACACGTGTATGCAGCGATGTGGTTACATAACCTAACTGTGCATATCACCGAATGAGGACACTTCTGCTACGGCATTACAGCGGTTTACATGATTGCCGACAAAGTATTCTCATAAGAGCCAAGATAAAGTTGTAGAAGCCAAGGTTATTGTATGCAATGACCGAAGATGATTCTTACAGCAGACTAGAGTTCTGTGAATGGATTCAGAGTTAGGTGCGTGAGGATGCACAATTTCTTGTTTGGACTGCTGAGGTGACATTTAAGCTGAATGGTACAGGGAACTGGTATAACTGTGCGTACTGGTCTTCCGAAGATCAGAACGTTTATGTCGACAAGCGGTAAATTTACTAGGACTTTCAGTCTGGTGTGGTGTGTCATGAGACTGTACTTGAAGATGGCTCACCACCGTGAAAACCTAAAATCCCACATACGAGACTGTACTTCTTCAAAGGGACAGTGACTGGTGCTGCGTACCTCAACATGATTTAGGAATCCATTGTTCCCGCAGTTCATCAGCTGTATGGAGATTAGGACATGGGGTATAAACAGGATGGGGCACCCCCACACTACCATCTTGATGTCAGGGCCTGAAGATCTTCTGGGTTCCTGCACCGTATAGTCTAGTAGAAGTTTACCGACGTTTCAGGGGTCCTTGCTGTCTCCATCTGGGCAATGATGGAGGCAGCAAGGACCTCTGACACGTCAGTGAACTTCAACCAGACTACACAGCACAACCCAGAAGAAATCCACCTCCAGACTCACCACCGTGAAAACCTGAAATTCTACTTACATCAGAGCCTATCTTGGCAGCACTTTTCCCAACTGATGGATAGGACGCAGAGGATCTGTTGAGTGACCCCCCCCCCACAATGGCCAGATTTAACCCCACCAGATGTTTTGTTTCGAGGTTACTTGAACGACGTGGTGTATAGCACAAAGCCAACAGCACTTGAGAGCTCCGGCATGAAAGTGGACAGTCTTGTGCAGCCGTTCCAGCGACAACTTTGGCGGCCGCTTGCCAGTCTGTTTCTCACCAGTGTCGACTGTCCTACGAAGCTAACGGTGGTCATTTTGAACGCCTGACACTGGATGTGCCGATTCACTAAGTGCCAATACTGAATGTGTGTATACATCTTTTTGGGACAACTGTAGTTCAGTCCTAGTTTTGCTTAGAGACACATGTTCTCACAATTTAATTTTCTTTCAACATTGCCATCGGAAAAAATATAAAACAACGCAGCAGCGAGATAATCTTGTGTTTCACCAATATAAAAGGTTCAACACTTTTGGCTTCGTAAGTACATGATTGCCCATGTCTGAAATTTCTTGGTAAACTGCAGCTTCAGGTACAGCTCTGACACAACTCCTCATTTTATGACTTTAAAAAATAAAGAGCAAATAAAATAATTGTACTGTAAATCAGGAAAAAAAAAAAATCATCCATATTCCAAAAGTATTACTTCACTGCTACAAAATTACTTGGCTGTGATTTATATCAAGCCGCCATCGGCACGTGACATTTAGAAAACTTAACAAAAATCGGTGACACTTAGGTGAAAAATTCAACTGTTTCGTGGAAAATATTAAATGAAAGCACGTGCGATACCAAACGACATCTTACGTGCAACGGCATCTCTTGTTTTACTACAGATAGGATGTACTTAATAAAGTCAATAACTTACTGATAAAAATTATTACAACGGCAGCAACCATAACCCATATCCAACACTTGCAAGCGCGCCGACTGTGCTCCTCCAGTCGCTCCGATTCAACCTTGAGCCTGGCAAAATTGTGGTCTGCCATGTTTGATGACTTCCCTACTGTCTAAACACAACACGCATCAGTATGAAGACAGCGTAACTTCGAATGATGACACATTGATATGGGTGTCAAGAACGGTCACTTACCCTTCAAATATTATTAATTTTTTCATTACTGAATTATTTAACGGCAATGCAAGACACAAGACACACTGCTTAAAAGAGCACTGAAAAATAATTTTTTTTTTTTGCTTCAAAATCTGATTTCAGCGTGTCAGAAACTTAAACTACAAAATTCATCAAACAAAACACTGAAGTTTAAAATGCAAAAGTTCAGCCAACAATTCTCGTGTTATTTCATTACTGGTCATGTCATGGGTCAGACAGTTAGTTACTCGCTTCTCACAGCGAAGGATTGGGTTTGCGCCCAGGTCAGTCCATGCAGGATCTGTAGTGGACAGAGTAGCGCTGGGACGGACTTTTCTCCAAATCCTTCAGTTTTAACCTGTGAGTATCACTCTGCCACCACTCCATATTCACTCATACTTAATCTGGAGGATAGACAATGGGATCATTAATGGTCCAGTTCCATAGAGACACAGACTCACCTTATAGCAATAAAAAAAGTTACTGAATGACCCACAAATATGAAGATGATAACGAAAAAGATCCGGTCATGTTGTCTGTGTTCCATACAACTATGTGTTGCGTAACACCTGTCGGAAAGTGGGCAAGTAAAGCAGTCTTGCTACACACCATGTAGGTCATTTGGGGGGAGAGGAGGTGTAGCTCCTACTCATTCTTAACCTCAGCACTAGATGGGGGTGAGTGGTCAGCATCACACCCCGGCCGTGCTTTATCCTGGGAAAGGACCCCAGTACCCATTGGATAGGAGGCTGGGTGGGCCCCAGAGGCTAGAGAAAAAATCCTCTGCCCCCTGGCGGGATTGAACCTCAGTAATCCGGCCCGTAGCTAGTCATTATACTGCCTGAGCTATCAGCTTTCATGTGACTCAATTAGTAAAGTAGTAGCGTAAAACATGGCATGTGGGCTACGTACTGTGTGAAAATGTGTTTTGTGGGCCCAAATATATTTACGTAATACTCTGTGACTACATGATGAAAAATCATTACCTGATACGAAAGAACTGTTTATTAATGTCTCCAGTCTAAGGCAACGACCGTCACTGTAACCCAATGTTCAGCTTTATCAATCTGATCAAAAGCATCAAATCAAGAACTAAGACGCATCTTAGTTATGAACCAGACGATGAATGACTACTGAAGATAAGGCAGTGTCAAGTATCTAAATAATAACAAATTTCATTAAAAATATTATTAAGTAATATTGAAATTGAAATAACAAAGTGATAAAATGATAAAAGTTATTTGGGAAAGGGGGGGGGGGGCTCTAGCTTCAAAATAGCATTTTCTGTATGGAGCAGATTTTTACACAAAAGGCTTGGCAATATGAAGGAGTAGTTTCTGATAATGGGTTGGGACGAACTGGGTTAAGTAACTGCAGAAGATGATTTCTACTCATGGAGTTATACTGGACACAAAATATCTGCAAGCCTGGGCTAAATCACATCAAGAGGGGAAGGGAAGATGAAAAGGGCAAGGGGGAGCATGACACCTCATGCCTCATCACTTCCTCTTCCCTCCCTGTACCTTGGCTGGCTGCCACAGTGTGAATTTGTAACACTTAACAAACAAAACTATGGTACTATCAGTGCAGATTAGTAGTATCAGATTTCCTCAGTCTATTTAGTACTTTCACATAGTATTCTGGGGATAAACGAAGCACGTGGCTAGACAAAAATAATCTCCAAACTACATATTAAGTCTCCACAGTTTGTGTAAAAACATTTCATGCAAAACTTCCTTCATATCTTCAGAAATGTATTCTTATGTCAAAAATTACTGAGGAAGACGAACAGTATCGACTCCATGAAAGTGAAAAGCATTAAATGAAAGCTCAGTCAGTGATTGTGACAAAAAACCTTCGGGTTCTGATTCAGAACAGGCATGACTGAAAATCTGCACGATCGTACTCAGAGAAATGTTCAGGGGGCAAAACTTGTCCCTCTCATCAGTGGGTAATGGGGCTCTCTGCATGAATAAAAATGACAGCATAAGCCTAAAAACAGGAAACTGCAAGAAAGACTGACTTATGTTCCAGTAATCTTTAGGTTGACGCATCACGTAGTCTGGCACAAGTTTACTGATGTTTTGCAGGTGCTTACAGCCTCCATCATCAGGACGAAGAGGCTACACAATGCAACATCGAAGAGGGCAGTCACCGTCATCCCAATAAAATCTTCTCGGGCGATCGGGCGCGTCGAATGGTTGAAAGAAGAAACTGACGTTTGAGGGACCATCTGTGTCCGCATCATCAACCATTTGATGTGGTTGATCGCCCGAGAAGATTTTATTGGGTTACATCACCGCAAAAGCTTCAGATCATAAGTGACCTTCATACTCGCCACTGTGAGATCTTGTTCAGTCTTCAGACAATTTTCCCACTGCACCTTTTCATTAAGCCTTAACGTAACTAACATAAGGGCATTTTTATGCTTTCAGATGTTTAAGGAAATTAGTCTGGAAAGCATTTGCTAGTAACATACCTCTGTGTCTCTTCTGATGATGCTGCCTGCTAACTGAGACTGTTCCTTGAGATTACGAGCCAATAACAGCATGTCGTCTGCAATCTTTTCCTGCATGGAATGGTGGTACTTGATCAGCGCGTCTAGGTCTTCACCACCCGACTTTTGCTTCCTTTGCCTCAAATTCTTGTCGGATCCTGAGAGCGAAAAAACATTTTTGCACACAATTTGAGAACAGAAAATTCACAGCCAGAGCACATGTTTTGAATCAGAGACATGCAGACATCCAAAAATGTTGGACATTTCCTTAAATGCGGCCTCTGTTTATTTCCACAAACAAAGACCGGCTGCCCTTCTTGTCGAAATCACAAGCTTCATGCCAGAGTCTGATCAGAAAGTCTGCTAAAAATATAAATAATAATTTTATAAAGAACTACTTACCACTGTAAACCAAACATTTAAGGCATAAAATGTTTATCTTACCAAGTTCTTCAAATTTATTTAGTGAAACAATTTTTTGGTCCATAATACACCCAATTCTGTACGTCCATATGAAGCAGTAATCCTGAATGGCTAATAGGTCTTTAAATGTTATTAAAAATTCCAATATTAAGTGCTATAAAAATATAACATGACAATATTTTCAGGCATTCTGTTCAACCTGAGAAGAGAATCTGATGTACAGAGACAAATAGCGACAACAACATATTTCTCCGCACTTTAAACCAAAACTTGGGGCAAACATAATTTCTCGAACATCCTGAAACTCTAATGATTTGCACATCTTTAAAACAACAATCATAGAAGATGATGACGAAGGAAAGAAGAAACAGATAATTATAATCATAATAATAACAACAGCAAGAACAACAACAATAATAATAATCTGCAGGAAAGCTGGGGTAGAGTCAGAAAGGAAGCATCGGTATGAAGACATCCCGAAGGCAGTTGGGACAAATCAGGATAACCAAATAACTGAAAGTGAAAAGCATTAAATGAAAGCTCAGTCAGTGATTGTGACAAAAAACCTTCGGGTTCTGATTCAGAACAGGCATGACTGAAAATCTGCACGATCGTACTCAGAGAAATGTTCAGGGGGCAAAACTTGTCCCTCTCATCAGTGGGTAATGGGGCTCTCTGCATGAATAAAAATGACAGCATAAGCCTAAAAACAGGAAACTGCAAGAAAGACTGACTTATGTTCCAGTAATCTTTAGGTTGACGCATCACGTAGTCTGGCACAAGTTTACTGATGTTTTGCAGGTGCTTACAGCCTCCATCATCAGGACGAAGAGGCTACACAATGCAACATCGAAGAGGGCAGTCACCGTCATCCCAATAAAATCTTCTCGGGCGATCGGGCGCGTCGAATGGTTGAAAGAAGAAACTGACGTTTGAGGGACCATCTGTGTCCGCATCATCAACCATTTGATGTGGTTGATCGCCCGAGAAGATTTTATTGGGTTACATCACCGCAAAAGCTTCAGATCATAAGTGACCTTCATACTCGCCACTGTGAGATCTTGTTCAGTCTTCAGACAATTTTCCCACTGCACCTTTTCATTAAGCCTTAACGTAACTAACATAAGGGCATTTTTATGCTTTCAGATGTTTAAGGAAATTAGTCTGGAAAGCATTTGCTAGTAACATACCTCTGTGTCTCTTCTGATGATGCTGCCTGCTAACTGAGACTGTTCCTTGAGATTACGAGCCAATAACAGCATGTCGTCTGCAATCTTTTCCTGCATGGAATGGTGGTACTTGATCAGCGCGTCTAGGTCTTCACCACCCGACTTTTGCTTCCTTTGCCTCAAATTCTTGTCGGATCCTGAGAGCGAAAAAACATTTTTGCACACAATTTGAGAACAGAAAATTCACAGCCAGAGCACATGTTTTGAATCAGAGACATGCAGACATCCAAAAATGTTGGACATTTCCTTAAATGCGGCCTCTGTTTATTTCCACAAACAAAGACCGGCTGCCCTTCTTGTCGAAATCACAAGCTTCATGCCAGAGTCTGATCAGAAAGTCTGCTAAAAATATAAATAATAATTTTATAAAGAACTACTTACCACTGTAAACCAAACATTTAAGGCATAAAATGTTTATCTTACCAAGTTCTTCAAATTTATTTAGTGAAACAATTTTTTGGTCCATAATACACCCAATTCTGTACGTCCATATGAAGCAGTAATCCTGAATGGCTAATAGGTCTTTAAATGTTATTAAAAATTCCAATATTAAGTGCTATAAAAATATAACATGACAATATTTTCAGGCATTCTGTTCAACCTGAGAAGAGAATCTGATGTACAGAGACAAATAGCGACAACAACATATTTCTCCGCACTTTAAACCAAAACTTGGGGCAAACATAATTTCTCGAACATCCTGAAACTCTAATGATTTGCACATCTTTAAAACAACAATCATAGAAGATGATGACGAAGGAAAGAAGAAACAGATAATTATAATCATAATAATAACAACAGCAAGAACAACAACAATAATAATAATCTGCAGGAAAGCTGGGGTAGAGTCAGAAAGGAAGCATCGGTATGAAGACATCCCGAAGGCAGTTGGGACAAATCAGGATAACCAAATAACTATTTTGCGGAACCAACAAGTCAAAACAGATAGAACTACTCTAAATAACAAACCACACATTAAAATTCGAAACAAAAATAGAACTTGTCTCTTAATTGCGTGTGCACGATCCCAACACGCTGTAGCCGCCCATCTCGTGGTTCGAGCCGTGACTACAGTTTCACCTGGCCAGTAAGCATCCGAGTTATGACGGCAACACGCCTGAAGTTTTTGGCTGTTTGTGGACCAACCAAACAATTGGATAATAATAATAATAATAATGAATCTTGTGTGTTAGTTTGTTCACACATCATTCAACCTGCATACTACGTCCGTCACTATCAGTTTACAGCATGAGAACCTCAAATCTTATACAAGTCTGTCAGAAAAGATGACAGTAACCAGTATCTCCATTGTATGCAAGCCCTCACTGACCCCCACGACCAAGCACTTTTCTTAACTCCTGTCACATCTTCATTCATGCCATACCTGATCCATTCTGAAGAAGCTGTTCCCGAAGCTCCTTGGCATATTTTGATGCAGTCGTTTGGTGGATTTCTTTAGTAACTGCTTCTGACGACGTTGCCGGTCCATGAGGAACAAGCTGCACTGCCACAATTTTTTCTGCGGGATTTGTCTGGTGAACATTCAGACACAGCGATGTTAATAAATACAGTAAAGCAGTTAACATTTACCACCTGCACATCACACTGTCGAGCATTTTCCAGGTAACGTGCGTCATCCCATCGAGCCACTAGGCACCTCTCCACTCGGAGCAATCTTACGGCGGTTACGACACGGTACTTTCCTTTACAGCTCCTTGCATTCCACCTGTGATCTTTATCAGCATCAACCCTACGAAGTTTACCTTCACTGGGAGTCTGTCAAGTTGCAGTCATATGGTAATGACGTGACGCATTCAAAGTCTCGTCAGCCAGAAGAAATTTAAATGGTGCCAAAATAAATAATACTTCTCTCATGACTGTAACTGTCCAGTGCCAGAGTTTGGGACAGTGGGCGAGTTTCAGGACGAGAGTGCTTTTTGATATTCTGAATACAGAATCTGACCTACTTGATGTGTTAAGTAGTAAACTGTATCTAGTGCTCCGAGTTCGTGGCAGTAAGGGGATGATGCGATGAGCATATTTAGTGGCGGAAGACCAAGAATATGACGTATGTATTAGTTATAGTCGTACAAACCAAAAAGAACAGCATCTCTAAACAAAACACAACTATCTTCTCAATATGAAGGTGACAGAACGGCTGATAGATATTCATTTATTTGGAAAACTTTAAAATTTCATAGTAAAAGTAACAATAATAGTTATATAATTCAAACATCTTGTAGTAGCCAAAGAGAATACCAAAAACTTTGCCTGACATCAGTTCAAAAGATTGGAAAATAAGGGTAAAGGAGCCGTAACCTCAGTCCAGCAGAACAGGAAGACCGAAGTCAAAGGGCGATACAGTAACTCGTCTTGAAGCTGAACACGCGGTACGTCGGCCAGCTACAGGATTACGCTTGTAGTGCGAAGTGGGCTTCTGTTTTCATGCTTCCCACACAAAAGTGAACTTCTAAACCAACCTTCTGTTACAACGCGAGAGGAATATTAACAAAACTATACATACTCTGAATTTTTAACCACGTAATCTGCCGTTAAAATACGTACGGCACAGGTGACTCACCAATTTGTGTGTCTCGATAATTCCCTTGAGAAACAAGACTCTTCTAATGTATTCAGCCAGGGTGACTCACCAATTTATGTGTCTCAATAATTCCCTTGAGGAACAAGACTCTTCTAATGTATTCAGCCATTGTATCCTTGCTGGGTTTGCTGCAAGACATACACGAATATTAATTTTATTTTCAATATGTGACACACATCGCATTCGTATGTGTCTCCAATATATTGTAGCTTTAAAGATTCAGAAAACTGGTGGAAAATGTAATGAAAAATTGTTCTGGCAAGGCAAAAGAAAATTTTCTAACTGCTATTACGTGGAAGAATAAACAAATTACGCTGCACACAAGGTGTCGTACCATTCATGAAGAGCACATTCAAAATATAGCTGAATTATTGATAGCAGCGGAAGAAATTAACCGCGGAATAACTGAAAAGATCCTTGCATGGGTCTGGGGGGACTGAGGAAAACCACAAAAGGCCTCAGTCAGGATTTGTGGCCTCTGAACTGATATTTGGGCTTGGAATGTCTCAAATACAGAGCAGAAGTGCTAATAACTTGTCCATGAAGATATAAATCCTTCAAAGCTGGCATGGTATGAAAATTGGTTCACTGCATTCCTACTGGTTCATGTGAGAGCTACAGAAAGAAGAAACTGCCTTCGCGTCATGCGTATGTTTACAAGACATCATGGCCAATGTATAACGTGACTAAAGTTGATGAAAGACTCTCGGGCCACAAGCCGAGTCAGGCGGCTGAATGTTTAATAAAGCGTATCTTCCGCAGAAGAGTCTTTCATCATCGTGGCCGATGTTTGCATACGTAAAGGTCGAACTTACTTTGGAAGTTTCTGAAGATTTGTCACCATTTCATCAAGAGCACCAATGTACTGAAAGAAAACCAAGTGAACATGAAAGTGGTCAAAGAATATGATAATTTGAAACAAACAAAATGTTCTCCTTTCAAGTCCAAACATTCAAGGTCAATATCTAAACTGATTACAATTATTCTTACCCTCCAGTAGAGTTATCATTACAAGATTTGTTCAGAAATGATTGGAACTTTCCTGGAATACAGGCTGAGAAACAGGATTTGAGGTTTTCGTGGCTTCAAGTCTGAACATGGCTATCTTCTGGATTGTAACGCTACGTAGTCTGGAAGAAGTTCATCAATGTTTCAGAGGTCCTTGCTACTTGGGCTCAGCAGTGGGGAGTGTAGTCAGTATCAGGTGAGAGCGTGTGAAGTAAACGTCTACCAGACTACGTGGCATTACATCCCAGAAGACAGCTATCTCAGTCTGAGAGATGATGACAGCCGCACAATTACGCTTCAATACACCCCATATGCTCGTAACAGAGGCCAACGCTCTATCGCCATCTTCCTGTTAACTTCCTGATAGTTGCAGCAAAGCAGTCTTTCAGGCCGTATGCCTGCGGACACCACTCTGCAAGTCATCGCTGTCTGGGAAATGATGAAGACACGTGAGGATGTTGCAGTAAATGTCAGTGTTCAATGCTGCCCCCTGGGGAAGTCACTCCTT